GGGTGCCCCTTCACCATTAAGCTCAGTGCCCGGAAGTAAGTGCCCCCATTGGCCCCCAGCTCCCCACCAGTCAGGGTGCTAAAAATGGTGCCTCTGGGGACTCAGCTGTTCTGTGTCTTGTCTCCCACAGGGACCACGAGAGCAGTTGTGACTACAGGCCTGTGCGGTGCCCCAACAACCCCAACTGCCCGCCCCTTCTCAAGATGAACCTGGAGGCCCACCTCAAGGAGTGCGAGCACATCAAGTGTCCCCACTCCAAGTACGGGTGAGTGGGCGGGGGTGGGCTTGGGCAGGAGGGGGGGTGGGCCTGGGCTGGCATTCACAGTCCCTCCTTCAGCAAACCGTTGTTGAGATCCACCTGTGTGCCGGGCACTGGGGAGACAGCCAGGGTCCCTGGGGAGATGGACCTTAGCGGAGCCACACCGTCGACTATGTAATTACAAACGGAGGTACAGGTGCTTCGAAGGAGAGATCAAAGTCCCATGGGAACACAGGGGTCAGAGCATTCGGGGAGTGGGGGGTGGTCAGGGAAGGAGTGAGATGAGCACTAACCTATGTGTGGGCATAAGCCAGGCAAAGACCCGGGCAAGGGCTTCCAACAGCTGGACCAACAGGGGTGGACTTGAACACATGGCCAGAGCTGAGAGCAGAAGGGAGGTGGAGGGGAAAGAGGCACGCCGATGAGGGGTGTGGAGGAGCCCTTTAGCAGCTTTGAGCAGGAGTAGAGTGATTGGATATTCCTTGCATAGTGGCCTGCTGGGTGCTGGGTGCTGATGGGAGCAGGAGAGATGGGCGGGCGTGCAGGTGTGGAGAGCATGGTGGCCCATCTGGGGTGCAGTAGGCACAAAACTGAGATTCAAGAGAGATTTTTAGGGTTGGGGAGGCCGAGGGGAGGGTCCTAATGGGTGGGCAGGTGAGCAAAGGGTCAGGCAGCCATCCTGTCCCTCCAGGTGCACGTTCATCGGAAACCAGGACACGTATGAGACGCACCTGGAGACCTGCCGCTTCGAGGGCCTGAAGGAGTTCCTCCAGCAGACGGATGACCGCTTCCACGAGATGCACGTGGCCCTGGCCCAGAAGGACCAGGAGATCGCCTTCCTGCGCTCCATGCTGGGCAAGCTCTCCGAGAAGATTGACCAGCTGGAGAAGAGCCTGGAGCTCAAGTTCGGTGAGAGCCCAGCCCAGGAGGGATGGGGGTGCAGCTCCTCCTCCTGGTCCCTGACACCCTCTGCCCTGCCGCCCAGATGTCCTGGATGAAAACCAGAGCAAGCTGAGCGAGGACCTTATGGAGTTCCGGAGGGACGCATCCATGTTGAACGTGAGCGGGCGAGAGACAGAGACAGGAAGGTTGGGTGGTGTGGGGGACACAGGACTATCCCTCTGATTGGGCCCCAACAGGAAGCTTGCCCTGCTCAGGATTAGGTGTCTGGGGTGGGGAGGGCTGCTGCACCTCAGGCTGGCGGGCAGGGGTACTGTGGAGCCACAGCCACCATGCCCTCCACTCTCGGCCTTGCAGGATGAATTGTCCCACATCAATGCACGGCTGAACATGGGCATCCTAGGATGTGAGTATGGGCCCACTGCTGCTCCCACCACTGTCCCCAAGGCCTCCCCATGTCTCTCACAGCTACTCCTGTCTCTGCAGCCTATGACCCGCAGCAGATCTTCAAGTGCAAAGGAACCTTTGTGGGCCACCAGGGCCCTGTCTGGTGTCTCTGTGTCTACTCCATGGGGGACCTGCTCTTCAGTGGCTCTTCTGACAAGACCATCAAGGTGGGTGGGATCCTGCCTGGGTGGGCTCTGTAGCCTGGCAGGTGAAGGGTGGGTACTGGCCGTGGGCGGGTCTTCCTCTTATAGGCGGGGCTTTCTGAGGATGGCTTGCTTCCTCATTCCCACCATGCCACCCCTGGCACCTGGCTGATCTTGTGGGACCCACCTTGACCCTGGTCTCTGCAGGTGTGGGACACGTGTACTACCTACAAGTGTCAGAAGACACTGGAGGGCCATGATGGCATTGTGCTGGCACTCTGCATCCAGGGGTGAGTGTATGTGTGTACCCACTGTCCCCAGGCCCACATGGAGCTGGGGACATGAGACCCCATGCTACTGCCCCATGGATGGTGAGCTCAAGCCTGTATAGCCCACATGTGTCTGCCTCTCCTGTGAGGCACTCGTGACCTTGAGCAGGGTGGCATCTCGGTGGTAACGTGGGCCCTGCATCTCTGACGATATATATTCACAAAGCATAGCCCTGGCCCTGGGCGCCTCGGGCAGCTGGAGGACAGAGGTGGGACCTCATAGAGTGGAGGCAGGAGCTCAGCTGTCTCTGGCATGGGCACAGCTCGGGGACAGGACCACACGACAGCTGGCTCAGCCACCTCCATGCCCCCAGGGTGGCCCTTTTTAGACCTTCCCTCCTGTCTCGGGTAATGAGGTGTTGTATTTGGGCATGAGTA